TCTAAGGACAATCTAACTGATTTCAAACATGTTTATTTTTAAAATGATAGGTCAAGAGCTGATTCAACTAAACTAAATAGATAAAAGCAGTTTAAAAAATTATTCCACCTCATACTGCAACTTATGGTAAGCACAAACACATGGAGTTAGAATATGAATGCCATCTGTAGCCTGCCAAGTAGCCACTGAAAGTTGGAAAAGTATCTGACTGCTACAATGTTCATTCTTATTTACACCTACAAAGATGGGTGGGGGGGAGAGATCTAAGATAAAAACCTTTAAGACTTTTTCTGCTGCAATACCCTTTGTTCAAGTACCCTGTCATAAAAGTCCTTAAAATCTGCAGCTGTAGAATCACTTTGGAGAAAGGACGAAGAAAAAAAAATCATCAATTAACAGAAGTAGAGGTTAGAAGAAACAAAAGAGTAAAAACCTCTAGAATGAAGAAGTACAGTAAACAAGGTTTGGCAAAAACTCAGCTTTACTATTGTTCAAATTGAAACTAATAGATTTCTTGCTCTGATTTCAGGGGCAGCGACATATTTCCTGATACATCAGCATATTTTCTCTTTTTTTTTTTTTTTTTTAAAGATCATTTTACCTTTCCTCTTCTGTCATGTGCTGATAAACTGTGGTCTGTTGACGCAACATAGTCAATTCCAAATCCATCATTTGGGTTCTGAATAAGTTTAGATTTCTCCTCACCACTTGTAGCTCCTGGAAAGTATTCTTGGGAGGGAGAGAGGGGAGGAAATACAAAAATTAATTACATGGGAAAAATTAAAATAAGTTTGGATCCTGTAACCACATTTTCCCAGATGAGCCCTTTAACAGCACCTCAGCAACTTCAGCATACGATGGAAGCTGCCTGTTGTGCATTCACAATTTCTCAAGAAAACAACATTTTCAGCTGCATCATACAAGCAAACACGTGAAGGGGTTTCTATGTATTTAAATTAATTCCCTTTTAACATTATTTGCAGGATGAAGCCTTCTGTTATCTCTTGAGAGCAAAGACAAGGAACTGCCCAAAGTTAGCACAATCTGTGATACATTTAGGATGTTTCTTCATATTCAATTTTTACTCAGTACCACTACATAGGCTCACTTACTTCATAGAGAGGTAGAATAGATGATCTCTGAGTAGTGTAACCAGTGGCAGCTGAAAGATCCTGACCCCTCATCACTGGGTACTAGGGAAGAAACAAACGATTTGAAATGGGAAAGTCAGCCATCTCATTTATGAACTCATCCTCTCAAATGTGCAGACACTTCAAAAGCAGCCACTGTTAAAACACACCCCTTCTGGCATTGAAATTTCTTCTATGTAAATACTGTGGCAGGAATAGGAAACATTAAAAAATGGCAGCACAACCTCTTAAGTAATGCATGTGCACCAAAGCTCTGCAATGCAAGTGTGCTGTGGTTGAAAAACCAAATTAATCCTGTCTGACACAGTGAGTAGAAACAAAAGCTAAGTTTTTCTGCACAAAGTATTTTATGCCTGAAAACTCAGTAGTCTAAACTGTCTTAGCTAATGATAAAAAGAACAACTTCAAAACCAGAACTGAGCAAATTAAACTGTGTCCTATTTTGAAATCATGATTACAGTCATATTTGTTGTGAGATTTTCCTCAGTTCTTAGTTTGGGGGGTTTTTGTTCATTTTGGTTGTTAGTCTCACTCCACTGCCTACATCCAAAGAGCCCTGCTTGCTAATGATCTCTCACTAAAAAAAGATTGTTGAAGAATTTCTATTTGCATGTTGCAACAACATATGGAGCAAACAGATAAAACTCAGGAGTTATTACATGTAGAGACAGGGCACAACAAAGAACAGTGGAAATAGCAAAAACATTTACCTTTTCAAACATGAAAAAGACATCTTGTCCAATATAATTTTGAAAGAATTCAAAAGACTATTGATATGCCATGGAAAATTTGAAGCACGTCCATTCATCCAGAGAAGTTGTGCTCAAACATGATCACATCAAGGGGATGGGTTTGTTTTTCCTCTGCCAGCTTTCTCTTGTTCCCTGTTCTATCAGGAATTTATCTACTCCTCTTTATTCCTTCCTAAAATCATAATCACGTTTGAAACATCTCAACTTTTTATTTAGCCACCAAGTATGCTGTGTGCTAAACTTGATCTCTGCTGTAGGAAAAAACAGGGAATACATTTTCATACAAACCTCTGCAACAAGAAGGGCCGAGCCCCCAAAATGGAACTAGTCTAGACAAAATATGCTGGAGGAAGTGGTCTAGGAGACGTTACTGTCCCCTCTAGTGATTTTTTTTTTCTATTTTTAAACTCAACTATCTTTAGCATGATTTCTGGTTTAATACAGAGGTTTCTTCTTCAGTATGTTTAGTTACCATAGTATATGTCATAAAAGTACTGTAGCACACTGTAACCTTACACAAATCAAGGCTGCAATTGGTATACATGAGGAAATTCTACAAAGAAGGTTAAATTATGGAAATACTTCCTCCCAGGCACACCATCCACTACCTTGAGCAATGGCTGACTTAAAATGCAGTTGGTCACAGCTTCCTGCTGCAGAGCTGGTCACAGTACCAAATTTGCTCTGAGAAACAGGGCCAGATGGTATAACCAAAGGAACAGTGGACTCACCTCTAACTTCTAACAAATGGCAAAATTAACAAAATAACAGGTCCAGAAAAAGCCCACTTCAGCCTACCATCTGCAATATGGTGCAGCCAGGCACGTGTCTGTTCTTGGGCTAAACCCACAGAAATCGTAGGTCTACAACTGAATAGTCTTCATGTATTCATAAAGAGAGACTGAACTGCCCTGCCCACAGAGCCTCCTGCAGGAGCTTGCAGGCTCCTAAACTGGATCACTACTTAAGAAAACAACGGTACCAGGATGGGAGAGAAGGGACAGCCGCAACTGGGAGGGGAGGAGCAGGTGAGGCAGAAATTGGTAAAATACATGTGCTTACATTCTTCAGCATTTCTTTTCTGAGGAGATGGACAAAATTTCACATGCTCTGACAAAATCGATTCTTAATAAATGACTGATAATATCAGGAACATGTTGACTAGCTCCAGCGTTGAAAGTGCAAAAAATTGGCACGAAACAGCACAGAAACAGATAGAGATCAATCAGTGACATGACAAGTGAAGCTATGCGACTTGCCAGGAAAAAATACATTTTTATTAGTTGGATAGGAAGTATGTCAAAGAGCAGAAGAAAAGTCAAAGGACTAACCAGACCACTCTATGATTCTATGAATATGTATTTTTAAATCTAAAGCAAATTACTCTAATCTTAAAATAATGGCTGATAAAGAGTACACTGTTCCTCCCTCCCACCCAAGGATATCTATAAAAGCTAAAAAATAAAAAATATTTTAAAAAAATCCAAATCAATCTGAGTCAACTGCAATAAGAAAGCATTAAATGCAAAAATAATGGCGCACTGGAGAGATGACCATAGAATCACAGAATATCCTGACTTGAAAAGGAGCCACAAGGGTCATTAAAGTCCAACTGCTGGCCCTGCATAGGAAAACCAAGAGTCACAACATGTGCCTAAGAACACTGTCCAAATGCTTCTTGAGCTCTGCCAGGTTTGGTGCTGTGACCACTTCCCTGAGGAGCCTGTTTCAATGTCCAACCACTCTCTGGGTGAATAACCTTTTGCTAATATCTAACCTAAAACTCCCTACTTTTAACACTTTAAATTTGCCACTTTAAACAGAAGCTCCTAAAACAGCAGCAAAAAATAAGATGCCCTTTTCTCCAGGGGCAAAATTTGGCTTCCTCTTACCTGTGAGAGGTTCTGCAGAGAGTTTCTGATGTCATGTAGGACCCTGCGTAGCTGCATCTCCACAGTGGAGGGTGGGTTGATGGCAAGAGGGCGATGAGGAACTCCAGCATGCCTTGGAAAGAAGGGACAGTTGAAGGGGGAAAGCATGGCACTGAAGGAAGAGCCAGAGATGCTTGGGACACTGTGGGTGCTGAGTGTCCTCATGTGCTCGCACAGTGGTCTGTCCTGCCACTCGGTGGGGAGGGAGTGGAGGGAGCATGTTGATTGGGACATGTGGGCTGGTGTGTGCAGCGGGCAGCTGTGTACCCTGGTGGGACTGAGCTCCTCAGACAGCCTGTTGGGCCCAGTCTGGGGCACTTCTTTCTTGGAGGATGAAGGCGCAATAAACAGTGTGGATTTGCACACCGGCTGGCTGGCGGCTGCCTCATCCTCGCTTTTGTCATTCTCAGATGCTGCTTTCTCATCATGTGTGTACTTGTAGGTGAAAGAAGGAGGACTGCACAGCGTCTCTTTTCCTGGAGTTAACTGGACATTTACAGAGGACACCACTTTCACTGGATTCAGCAGTGCAGTTGGGAGAGACTGAGAGCGCCTTAGAGGATAGCCTGATTCAGCAAACAAAAGCCTCTGCTTCCTCAGATGATCTTTTGATTTAAGCAGAGTGCATCTGGCCCTGGAATCAGAAGATGAGCTGATGATCCTCATCTCAGCTCTTTGCAAGGCGACTTGAACTCTGTCTACAGGTGATGTGGAGGAACCATCACCTTCCAAAGACTCCATTGACCTGAGGATATGGTGTGTGTGGTACTGAGGAAACTCAAACACACTGCCTTCCTCCAGCAGGTCCAATTCTTTTTCCTTGTTGGAAATGTCTTCCTCTTTAGAGCCGACCTCCCCTTGGACTGTCTCTGATATATGAGATGACTTGCTTTCTTGTCCTTGATTTTTTTCTGGTTTATAGTCAATAGTTTTTCTATCTTCACTCCTGTTACCAGAAGGTGCCCCTACCTTTCGTCTCTCTACTTGAGAGATAATATCCTCTTCATCATCATCATCCTCGTCCTCCTCTTCATCATCTTCTTCTTCCTCCTCCTCAAACTTATTGAAACACGGTAGTTCCTTGGTTATCGGTGTCTTCTGTTCCTCACTATGTGACGTCACAGTTGTCTCACTGTCACAGCTGTCAGCACTGCTTCCCATGCCCTGCAAAGACTCCTGAACCTAGGACACATAAGAGACAGCAAAGGAGTGAACATACTGGAGACTCAACTACTGCCTTCTCCAATTCCATATTCATTGGGCATTGGAGTGGGGAGCAGAAAGAGTAATGCAGTTAGTGTGCAAGAGACACAGTGAAGGAGAACAAAGAAACCATGATATCAGATACATTACAAACACAGTCAAGTATGTCACCAAAAGATTTTTTTCTTTTTTAAAGAGAAAACACTTCACACATTCTTTTGATTTGACAATAACTTCTATATTGCCAGAAGAATAGAAGTGGTAGTAGAATAAAAGAGTAAAATGCTAGTATTTTAGGGAATGATGACTAATGGATAGCTGGGTGATGGTACATAGCATCTCCCATATACAAAGGTTCACAGTGCTGAAATGAAGGGTGGTATTAGGAAATGTATCCAGAGAAGTGAGGAGAACTGCAGACTGTAGTGAAACTACTGTTACAGGACAACACTAAGAATGGGAAAACCAGTCTGCCCTGTTTTAAGTTACAGAATTGTTGAAGACTGATAATCTCACATTAGGATGCTAATCTCAATAGAAGACTGCATTCAGTACTATTAGCTCATCCTTCCTTCCTTTCTCCTGATACTTCTTCCCCTTTTCATTCTAAATCACAGTTTAAACCAGAGCACGTGTAAGGGAGCCAATTTAACAGGTAACAAATGGCAGGAAAAGTATTTTTATGAGAAAGGAAAAAAGAGGTCTATGCATATTCTTTAGGTTGGCCTGATTGACTGGTGTCAAGTGGACAAGACATTTTCCTAAGAGAACTATAAAGTACAGTCTTGAAAGTTTACCATAGTTGGCGCACGAACTAAAAATTCTCCCATCTCTGATTTTTACAGCTCTCGCTGCCGTTAGGATATTAATTATTAGTTCCTTACAAAGACATTACGTATGGTGTATGCCAGGCTATATATAGTTCCTTCTCCAACCACCTAGAAGATTTCAGTCACGAAGGTCATCTTTGTAAGTATGTACTTTATATTGCACTTAAGAGCACAGCCACAAAATATTATGACTGTGCAGGTTCAGATACTTTTCAAATTAAAACTATTATAAGAATAAAAGATTATAATGTCTAGGTGAAATCACGTGGGCTATGTGTGTCTATATCTGGGTCTCTAATCCTCCATCGCATTGTTCAGTTATGAGTAAGGCAAGTAAAACTTCATGAACTTGGATGGAGAATTCTCTAGTTTCTTTGGCAACAGGAAACTCCCTCGCAGAATATCCCATCTCAATATAAAAATCTCCCTCGGAAATTTTTATTTTTGAAGTCAGAGATGAAAGGCAATGTAGTTCAAATTTTGAGTTTCCTTCTGAGTTTCAGAGATAAGCTATGGCTGCTAGAGTCAATTATTTAACAGTAGATGGCACTAACTTACCATACTTTTAAGAAACAATATAGACTCCTCTGTATCCCCTTCATCTTTTCACAGATTCTCTTCACTAGTTGCCAAGTTCTCATTACCCCATGCCTCATCATTCACCCGTTTTCTGAATTCAGCTCAGCACTTTGTGTCAATAAAGCAGTGAAGGCGGCAGAAGAGAGCCTAGCAACTCCATGGCACAAACCTTGTGCAGTCTCAATACACCTTTTCAAAACAGCATGACAGAAAGCAGAAAAATCTCTTCCCTTCACAGCCAACACAGATAAACTCCACCAGTATTCCAGTAAAGGGGCAACTTAGCTGCAACACGGTTTTAATGGACTCAATCAGGTTGCAACCAATATAAAGATCAGGAGTGACCAACTCTAATCTGACTCACCTTTCAACATGCCTGTCAACTTCAGTGCAGCCATGCATTAGTAGAGAGCAGAACAACTCAGACTATTATGCCTTTGCAGAGACTCAGGCTTATAATTTCCTTTATTCACTTTCTTCTCTTGGAAAGCATAAGCTTATGTTTAAGGGACACACAAAGACTATCACTGTCTTGGTTTTTATTTTGCTACTCAATTGAAAAACTACTAAATTGGAAAGCACAGAATACCAGTACCAAAAGGGAAAAGCAACAGTGATGGATGGGGAGGGTGAAAAATCTCTTCCTAATAACTGCCAAACAGCTTTTAAAATGTTTGGTGTGCCACATGGGAAAAAACATACAGCAAAAAAAAGTTCAGCAGATGCAAGCCACAGAAATGAAACTACTGAAGGTACCCAGAATCCCATCTCTCTATTCCTTCAAGCTTCGGTTTAGGTCCCAGACAGCTAACTGATAGCCTTGGGGCCAGGGTGTGACTCAAGGCTTTTCTCTGTCTACTGGCAGGCCAACCACATCATGGCTATTACTGTGCAAATGTTTGAGGAGAAGCAAGAGAACAGCTCTCCAAAATATCAGGTACAACGCTGTGCAAACATGTGCATTGAGCAGACACCTAAACACCATGCTGGAACAAAAGCTTTCCCTAAGACATGCAGTCTCTGGTCAGTATCACAGCAAGGTCTGGGACAGAGATCAAAGGAACTGGAAGGAGAAAAAGTGTGAAAGCTCAGATTGACTAAAAGTAGTCTACCTTCACAGTAAAGTTAGTATGAAATTGTTTTCACTTTCTATCAGTTGCTAACTCAAAAAAAAAGAAAAATACAGAGGTGGGGGAAGAGCAGGAAGGTAAAAATGATACAAAAATTGAAATGATCAGCAGAATAGCAATCATAACCTTAATCTCTACCCACTACAGTCATGAGAGAAATGGACTACAATGCTGGAGCCTCAGATAGTGAGAAAAGATACTCCAGAAACAGCAAAGAGGACATACTGAATTTAGAGCTTATTCTAGACCCAAGTATATCCAGATTAACCTATCAGAAAGGCCTTCAAATTTGAACACAGTTCTGTACAGGACTTGGCAGGTCCAGCTCTGAAAACTGTAATTTTATAGGACCCAGACTGATGGTCACAATAGCAAACATCAACATCCCTCCTGTCCTCCCAGGTCCCTTCTGTCCCACAATAATCATTCATATTTCAACCACATTAGGAGAACCTTACCTGAAGCTGATTAAATGGAGAACAATCTGTGGAGGAGTCCTCAGCAAAGCCACTGCTGTCGGAGTGCTGACTCGCTGTCCGTAACAGCTGGTCTGTTTAAAGCAAGCAAAACACAACTGTAATTTACAAATCACAGCCTTTCAAGCCCAATCACATTCAGTATGTGCTTTCCTTTTACATCAAAGTAACATTAAGTGGATAACAATTCCTTTTCAAGTTCCACTTTGAACAATACAGAGAAACAATTTGTTTGCTTCAAGCAAAACCTCTCTCACGCAAAGCCCTACTTCTGAAACTTCAAGCAGCAGTGGAAGAGAAGCCACCTTTTACATTCTTCTTTCCTGTGCTGTGGAAAAAAACACTCTGCAGATATTGTCACAGCTGGAGTTCCCCTTCAACAAAACTGCATCACTGGTTAATTCACATGCCAACACAAAAGCAACTCCTCCACTGGCTGCAAGTACAGATTTGACACCCCTCCTAATCACAGAGATAAAGAAGATCCCTCTTCTCCTACCAGCTTACACCACCCCATACACCCAAAGGAACAGCATCACATGAGCAGGGAGATGCAGGGGCCTCTGCCAAGTGCTGGAGATGGTCCTCTGCTCTTTACACATCAACGGGCAATCTGCCAAAGCACATTCCCAGCGCTCATTTTATACATGCAAGATAAAATTCTCCTGTTTGTTCCTTTCTACTTACATTAGGTAAGTGTTAAAATAGCCTAAAGAGGTTCTAAAATCCTCAGTGTTTCCCAGGAGTGACTTTCTCTGGTGCAAGTAGTGGACTCATAAAGCTGCTTTAAGGAGATCTCAGCAAGCTCTGCAGTATACTATTGCATGTATATTGTTCCCAACGGGAAACAGGAAGCACTCACCAAGTGTGAGTTTACCTTATAGCACCATAAACATTTTGCTCAGCCTGAGGGTAGCATGGGCGACAACCTTATCTCACCTCTAGGTCTCAGGAAAAGTATACAAGCTTGGAGATAGGAAGCAACCACAGTGGCCTCTAGCCTTTAGACCCCTGCCACCTACTCCTCTTCACCCTTGGGCAAGAGCTTGCTTCTGTCTTCTCAGAGGCTTAATGCAGAATTTTGCCCCACATTCTTTCAACCACTTAAATACCATCATATAATTAATCCCAGTTCACAGCTCAGTTCATTGGAATGCATGATGAAAACTGTTTTGAAACTGTTGGATACTCAAAACTCATTTTATTTAGTATTAGTTTTGATGAACATTGCACTAACGCAGAAATAAGAGCCTGTACAGTTTGTGAACGCCAGGGGAGAGGCACACTGCCTGCTAAGCTTCTGTATCAGTGATTTCACACAGCTTTTAGGGAGTGCCTTTCAAATTGTGCTGCTGTTCTGTTATCATGGTAGCCACAATATCCTGCGAGGATAAACAACTTTTCTACCTAAAGACAGACATCCCCACCCAACTCCCGGTAAAGACAATGGAAATTACTTCCCTGAGAACTGGACTAGATCTTATTAACTGCCCAATACAATTAATACGGCTGAAAGAGCATGACATGAACAGGTTGTCACTACAGCTGAGGCTGGTGGGAAGCTGTTACCTCCTTCAAGGTGAACAGTTACCTACTTTGACCTCTTCTCTGTCTCTTTTCCTATGTGGTGAATTCTAATTTAAGAGAAAAAAGCACTACTGGTGAAAGCCTTAGCCTCTCTTAGGGGAGAGATTCCAACTAGGTCAGACAAAGTAACTCACCAGTGCACATACTGGTATCTGTTTTAATGCGCATGAAGTTTATTGCTGCTCAAGAGAAATACTGACCTGCTGCTCTATTTCCTCCTCAGTCAATATTTCCTTTTCAGCTATAAAAATGAAAATTACATCTATATGTTTCCTCAAATCAATGTTTGGTCTTCTCAGAGACACAGTAAAAAAGTTAAAATCAGTTTTTGGATAATTTTTTATAGCATTTGTTATTTACACACATGCTTTGACAACCTTACACAACACACACTGCCAGTCAACAGGTCAGCCTAAAGCTGAGGCATCACAGCTGCCTCATTGTCTTTATGCATGCCAAGAGACTGGCACAATACAAACAGATTCATACTACCTTGGTTCCACCTAAGGAGACATCCCCTTAATACAGTCATCCCTTGCTTTCTGTGTTACAGAGCTGTTAGGATTACTTTGAACATTTTAAAGCACATCAGAGAAGACACGTTTTCTAACTACGAGCAGTCATCTTCTACCACACCTTACCCTTGTCTTTTACAAATTCTCAGAGTTCTCCATTATACCACTATGATGTAAATGCAGTCAAAACTTATAAAGAACAGGAATCTCTACTACTTCAGTAGCAAAATGACAAGGTTTGGTTCTGTAAAGACTGGGAATACCAGCTACTATGCTGGGATATACTGATACAAAACGGTATCCACCCTCCCTGTCAAACTACTGAACCAGCTATACAATCTGCTATATGGCACCTGAATATCTCTCAGATTCAAGTAAAGAAGGGGAAAATTGAAAACATTTTTTAAAAAGATACAGTTATATTCAGATCTTGATTAAAATGCCTCCTGGCAATGGAGCATCTTAAGAGACAGAGTTTTTGATGAGATATGGCTCTCCCCTCTTCACCTCAAATGCAGAAAACTCAGCACCAAAGGCTGGATAGTAGGGGTCAACCTGGAATCATCCCTTGCCCTGCATAACCCCAAGGCAACTGTACCTTCTGAAAAAAGATCACTGCACCCAAAAGCTACTACACAGAGGAAAGCTTCTGAACTAGTGGGAGGAGGCCTGGGGCAGCATAATAAGGAAAGTGTGGGAGAAGGAACCAGCTAAGATGAACAAAACCAGAAGGAACAATCAAACTCTTATCCCAGTTAAACAGAGCACAAATGAAAATGCCCCTTAGATTGCTGTTTTAAGCTCCATAAAAAAATAAAATCAAAGTACATTTAGGTACTTCAGTGAAGAAGAAATGTGGGTATTCATAAATACATTAAATAAGCTGAAAAAGATGATGAAGTCTGTGGTTTACAAAACATGAGAACACAGGTTCATCAGAGAATCCCTATCTAAGGACTGAATAATTCATCTATTGTAACATAATAATCAGCTACCAATGGACTGTCAGTCTCACTCCTTCTGTGTCACTGTACTGCTCACACAGAAGAGGAGAAAAAATACATGGAATCTGTTCATTAAGCTTTAACATTTACATTTCTTGTGCCTGCACTATTGGGAAAGATCTAATGAACTTTGTATGTTCTGAGATAATTAATAAATTAAAATAACATTCCCAACTTTAGTCCCATTATGGGACTAAATATCACCTGTCCCTTTTTCACATATTGATCACACTCTGTACCACAGCACTAACAAAACCAGCCCAGTAGGCAGCCCTGCTGCAAAAACTCTTAGTCCCTGGACTGAGACAGATCTAGTATCCGGACAGATAAGCACAGACTCCCACAAATACAAAATCTATTCCAGATGTTTTCTTCTTTTCCCCCATCTCAAATCTCCTGTGGAGCTGCACCCATAGAGAGATATAAATACAACATTATATTAAGGACAGGAAGTGCTGATGATATGCTTTCTTCCCTTTCAAAAGCTAAATTTTCAAAAT